GCCGGGGAGCCTGCGTCTGTGGCGCCCACGCGGAACTCGAAGGCTCGCAGGGCCTCGTAATCCAGCGACCTGAGAGCGAACAGGTGCCCGCTGTCCGCGTTGATGGAGACCAAGGAGTCGAGAGGGAGGTGCGGGTCCTGGGGCGGCAGCAGCGAGTAGGTGAGTTGGGCGTTGGTGCCTGAGTCTCTGTCTGTGGCGCTGACGCTGCCTATGTGCAGGGCGGGGCTGTTGTTCTCGCGGATGAACAGGGTGTAAGAGGTTTGTGTGAAAGTTGGAGCATTGTCATTGATGTCAGAGACCAGCACCCTTATGTTGTGCTCGCTTTTCAGCCTGGGTGACCCCAAGTCGGTGACAGTGATTGTGACGTTGTAGTCGGCGTTCCACTCTCTGTCCAAAGGTTTCTCTGTTACCAAAGTGTAAAAATTCTCAACTGATGGCTTCAGGAGGAATGGGAGATCGTCCTGGATGGAGCACATCATTTTTCCATTGTTCCCTGAATCTCTGTCTCTAATTCTAAAAACAGCAACGACTGTGTCGGGTGAGTTTTCTGCAATTGGGCTAGTAAGTGATGACATGAGCAGTTCCGGTGGGTTATCATTTATATCTGTTACCTGCACCACCACAGTACATTTTCCAGAAAGCCCTCCGCCGTCTTTGGCCTGAATAGTTAATGTATAAGTTTGAGTTGCCTCATAGTCCAGCTCGGCTCTAAGATGAAGATCGCCAGATGTCGAATTGATTTCAAACGTTTTGAGAATTCTTTCAGTGGCATAAAAAAATGCATAAACTATTTCCCCATTGCTTCCGGTATCTAAGTCACTAGCTGACACGGTGACAACTAGAGAACCGACAGGGCTGTTCTCGGGCACTTGCACCTCGTAGAGCGACTGCACAAATTTAGGAGCGTTGTCGTTAATATCCAAGACCAGGATGCGTACCAGGGCGGTGCCGGATCTAGGCGGAGAGCCACCATCCAAGGCTGTGAGGGTTAAACTGAGCTCAGGCACCTCCTCGCGATCGAGCACTTCATCCAGTATCAATTCAGGATAGATAGTACCCTCACCGCTATCATGGACATTAATATGGAAATAGGCATTCGGGTTGATGGTGTAGTTACTCAGGCTGTTGACTCCAACATCTGAATCCTGTGCACGTTCTAGGAGAATTGCCTCCCCTGGAGGGGTACTTTCTAATATTTTCAAGAGAATTTCTCTATCTAGAAATACTGGAGAATGATCGTTGATGTCCCTGACCCATAGTTCAGCACGGAAAATCTGAAAAGGCTTTTCCAGTAATAACTGGAAAGGCAGCACACAGGGATCGGTGGGGCCGCACAGTTCCTCTCGGTCTAATTTCTCATTTACTATTAAATCCCCAGTAAGCGGACTGAGTAGTAAAAATTGTATGTTCTGGTCTGAAACGATTCTACATGCTCGGGCTGACAGTTCTCCCACCCCCAACTCCAGGTCATTTGCAAGGTTGGCCAGAAACGTGCCTCTCTCGGTTTCCTCCGCCACAGAATAGCGAAGCGGTTCGGCGCCAGCCCAGGACACACCCAGAAACATACAAAGAAGTAAGACTTGCCTTTTCTGCCCAGCATGCTCCACACCAGTCTCCATTCTTCTCTGAGTCTTCAAAAACGCTTCCTCTCGGCCTCAAACAGCTCTCGGAAATGGCAGTAGCTGAAGTCCTTAGAAATGAGCTGGATAATAGCAATGCTTGTGGGGAGGTAGCCCCACTCTCCCCCAAGTCCTGTCCCCACGATTTCCTCTATACGCCGGAATCTGCAGCATCCTTTGCGCAGATATTTTTTCCTCCTTTTAGCCAACAGCGCCACCTTGCGTGTTTTGTCTGTTATTCCCGTTCTCAAGAATAGAACAAAAAGATGGCGGATTAAAGGAACTCTGACAACAGGAGTGATTTTTCCCAGTGTCTTTGCTCTTTCATGACATCTTTTTCCTCAAATGGTCACCGTAATTCCAGTAAGTGTTTACATTGTTTTCCCTTCTGATAGTCTGAATTCTTAGAAAAATTAATCTATTGTTTTCTTAAATCTAGAGGCATAAATTTAAACCCTTGTTTCCCACCAAGAATAAATCCTAAGAAAACCTTATCCTATTTTAAAAGTTGATAGTAAAGAATATTTAAGAAAATGACGCCTCCGTCAAAAAAATCAACAAATATTGGTTGAGGACCTTTTATTTGTTTATAAATCAATCATGTCATTCATCCTACAGAGTAGCTAAACTTTTTTTCAGTTTCTTGTGAATTAAACAATCTTTCTGGTTTAAAAGTCTTCACTCTTTACCCAAGATACCTTCTGTAACACTTTATGACACCGAACTCCACTCCTTCACCTGTTAAGTATTAGGTATAAATAATTTTTCGTATAAAATTTCAATTGCTAGGACCTCCAATATCCAATGAATACTAGTAAAATTAGTAGTAGCAAGTAGATCATTCTTGCCTTTGTAGATGTGCTGCTAGTATTTCATCATTAACTATGATGAATGATCTAAATTTAGGGTAAATACTCCTGTTTATTTTTTGTATCGAGAAAGTTTTATTCTATTTATTCTTTCATATATTTAAACTATTTTGACACCTGTTTAAATTACAATTTTATTCTCTAGTCTTTTAATTCTTAAGTTGTTGAAATAAATAACATTTAGCTATCATATATTATTGTTTTAATGCACAACTGAATTTGATTTTTTAGGATTTTTCTGCCCTATATTGTTCTTTCTCTCTCTGTTACTTTTTATGTTTTGGTATTAAATTATTCTGGCCTCAATGAGTTAGAATGGGTTAGGATGCAATTTCTCTATTTTTATGATACAGAATAGTTTTTATAATTAGATTATTATCTGTTTCTACATGATTAGTTAGAGCTGACATTTTCAATCGGTTGAGTTTGGTGATTTCTTTAGTGGTAGATCTATGACTACCTTTTGCATTTTACTTTTGGTTATCAATCTGTTCAGGTTTTATTTCCTTTTTAAAGTAATTTTTATTGTATTTTAAAATCATTTATCTATATTTTCAAATTTCTTGATATTATGTTTTCATTGTATTATTTCTTTGTCTTTAGTTATGTCCCTATTCTTATTAGTAATGTTGCATATTTTATCTGTTGTTACTCTTGGTGAAACTTGCAAGAGCTCTATCTTACTCATCTTTTTAAATGTATTTTTAGTTTTTTCAAAATAATATATGTCTTTCATTCAAAATCAAATAGTAGGAAGAGGATTATAATAAGATAGGATAGTTTTCTCCCCTTTCCCTCTCCACTTTTCTCCCCTGTCCTCCCCAGAGTCAGCCATTTTTAAAACTCTTGGTTATCACTTCTGGCATTAATCCATATACTGTATTTTGATTAATTAATTTTAGATATCATCAATTGACTCCTTATATTTTTGGATTAGGTTTTCATTCTTACACACTTCCAAAAATCCAAACCCGTTGCCATCAAGTTGATCCTACCTCATAGTGACCTATAGGAAAGAGTAGAACTGCCCCATAGGGTTTCCAAGGAGCAGCTGGTGGATTCAAACTGCTGACCTTTTGGAGCTCTTAACCACTGCACCACCAGGGCACCATACACTTCCAAGGAACTTGCATTCCTTCTATCACTTGCTTTATTGTTGGGAGCATTGTTGTGTGTTAATTATATTTTCTTTCTCACTTTTTTTGAAGTTAATTAATTGCCTTGCTTTCCCAGATTTATATGCAAATAATGCACACCTTCTACATTTGTTTGTCAACCACTCCCTCCCACCACGAGGTATTTTCAGAAGCACAACTTTCCACATGGTCATTCCCATTCCTGCTGATGCATCAATTTTCCTTGAAATTGAGTGGTTGCTCTCTAAGCTTGCTGCATAACTATCATCCTCGAACTTCTCTTTGCTATCACTTTTGGAATTTCTTTTGCCTTTTATAGTGTTGGACTCCATATCTTTCTCTTTTGGTTTACTCTTTTGCTTTAATACAGCACATTCTCCAATAGTTTCATCTGTTTGAAAAGATGGTACAATGTCAGTGAACTCACAGATGATATCCCTCAACATGCCTATCTCTTGAGTCACACAACTCCAAACTGGGCTGGTTTTTCATTATGCCAAAGTGCAGCTGTCGGCCTGGGACCATCCTTCAACATCATCTGGAGATTCTTTTCACTTCTGTGCTGTGTTGGATCTTCTCATTTTTTTTCTTCTGACTCCCTGTCTCTTGGTTTACTCTCTCATTTTGGTAGATATCTTTCCGTAGTTTCCAGAGAAGGGTGTACATGAGTTAAATTTTGTTGTTTCCTTGAATATATTACAGCATCTTTATTCTACCATCAAACTTGAATGGAAGTTTGACTAAGTATAGAGTTTAAGTTGGAAATAATTTTCCCTCAGAGTTTTTAAGTGTTTGGTCAATGGGTTCCATAAACCAATGTGTTTGTTAAGAAATCTAAAGATAATCTTATTTCTCATTCTCTATATGTGAGTTGTATTTTTATATCCCTTTTTAGTACTTTGTCATTGTTCCAAGCATTTAAGATTACACAGTGATGAGTCTTGGTTTGGGCTTATTTTCATCCATTGTACAGGACAATTGGTGAGCCCTTTCAACAAACAAATTTTCTTCAGCTCTTAGAAATTAAAATAAAATTACTTTATTGATGATTTTTTCTGCTCCTGTGTTTTTGGAATTCCTATACTCAGATGTTGGATCTCTGGTATGGTTCTTTAATATCCTTAATTTTTCTCTCCTGTTTTCTGTTTAAAAATATTTTTACAGTATTTCCTGTGATGTTTTCTTAACCTTATCATGCAACCCTTATATTGATATTTTCATTTCTTTATGACATTAATATTTTCCAAGAATTCTCTTTTTGTACTTATTTCTTAGGTTAGATAACTTTGCTTTTCATCTGGTATTAATTATAGTTGTTTTCAAGTTTTCTACTACCTGTAAACTTTGTTTTCTCCAAGTTACTTTTTTCTCTTTTGCTTTCTGTATTGATTTGTTTTTGACTTCTGTATTTGTTTTTAGAAATGATCTTATAATCATTTGTTGCCCATTTGCTCTTCATTTAGTTTAGGAGACTAAAAGCTGAGTGATAGCTCTGAACACGTTGTTGTTAGTTGACTATCGAATTGATTCTGACTCGTGACAACCCCATATGTGCAGAGTAGAACTGCTCCGTAGTTTTTTTCAAGGCTGTGATCTTTCAGAAACAGGTCAGTAGACCTTTCTTCTGTGGTACCTCAGGGTGGGTTAGAACTACTAGCCTTTCAGCTAGTAGTAGAGCACTTAACTGTGCCACTCAGGGATGCCTCAACATGTTGGTAGGGTTTGTTAATTTTGATCTTCCCTCTAAGGTGAACTGGCTGTGCTGGTGCTTCACGGAACCCTAGCATCAGTATGATTAGGTCTTTGCACACGGAGTGGTTAGACTCCCCTACTCTTTAAAATCTCCTACCCAGAAGGAAAGGGTATGGATAACAGAATTCTGGGATTTGAGTGGGGTAGGAGTGATGGAGGTCTGCATACAATCAGGATAGGCTGAGTTATGCTTCAATAACAAACAAATCCCTCCAGATCTCCATGGCTTAACATAATTAAGGTTGATTTCTTTCTCATGTCACATATCCAATACATTTCAGTATGGGACTGCTCCTCACAGTAGTCACTTGGGGATCCAGGCTGATGGAGACTCCATTTCCACATATGGTTTCATAATCACTATAGTGGGAAAGGTCACTGTCTCCTAAAGCTTCAGTCTACACATGGTATATCACTTCTCACATTTTATTGGCTAAAGCAAATACATGGCTACACATAATTTAAAGAGGAAATAAAATTGACATTCTATATGTGTCTAAGAGAAGAAGTGAAATGTTTGCATTTGGTTCTAATGACTGTCATAGCATTTTAACAATCAGCATTCAATATTAGGTGGACACCTACTTTCCATTACCCGTATTACCTCTACCCTCAGTTTTGCTAATGGAATGTCTAATATAATGATCTCTATTTTACACTTACCAGAAAATAAAAGTCCAGACTTATCTAGGATGAGGGAGGTAGATCAGTCAGTGACTGGGGTGGGGAAGTGTATTTGACTCCTAGGTATTTACCTATTTATCAGGCAATTTTAACACAATCCTTCTTATTTGGCACCCACCACCATTTCTAGCTGACAGTTCTAATGTCTCTGAAAGTCCTGAAGTCCAAACTATATTGGTTCTCAGCTTTTCCCACTCAGGCTTGGTAGTTGGTTTGTCAGATACGCTAAGTTATCCACCTGCTTTCCAGATTCTAAGTCTTTTCTCTGTTGTCTTCTACTCTATCCTCTCCATCCTTGTAGGTTTGCACTTTTGTGTCAGTGCATTTTTAGAGAGAGCTGAATTAAAGGTGCTTGTCCAGTCCACCAATTTAACCCAAAATCCCCTTGAATTTTTCAAAGAAATAAATTTTTTTTAATTGGTCAAATCTTCTGTGGTTTTTATTCCATTTAACTATGTTACGCTTTGATATTTGTAATTCATTCCTTTTATTTTCTTTATTGTTATTATTACCTTTTCTTTTTGAGATGTTTGCTTGGCCTGTTTTCTTTTGAATAAAC